TTTAATGATATTTCTATCCAAAAATCTATGTGTAAACATTATTTAAATTGCTAATGCTTTTTGTTTATCTCCATAATACTAATAAATATAGACTACTTTATACGTTTTGTATTACAACTAAAGTTATTACTTCCTTAATATCATTTTTTTATAAAGCATATATCAACCTGACCTTAAAAAAACCATATGATATATTTAAATGGTGCGAAATAAGATTGGGTTTAAGAACCTCATATTTTCTCTCGGTGCACGTCTGGTTCTATTGTTGTTCCTGCTGCTTAGCACGCTAACTAACTAGCAGCAGTCGTCGCTGCCGGCGTCGTTGCTTTAACATTTCGTAGCTGGAATTAGTCGCACCGCGTAGGTCGAGGCAAGTGGATTAAATGGCGACGAAAGAGTGCAAGACAGTAGCTCCTGTCCCTGGCCGCCAAATGAAGTATTCATTATCCTGGGACAGGCAATTAGCACGTTGCCAGTGAAACGGGTCAATTCGGGCTCAAAGGATGCGCCACTGACATTGCTCATACGACGCGTTGGCCGGTTGTCGAATCTCGTTTAATCAAGGGACCTTCTGGGGATCGGTGGTGAATCGGGGGTGTCCTTAACCGGATCTCGGTGTCTGTGTCCTGTTTTCGGCTTTTCCGGCCAGGTTGCGTGTGTGTTTGTTCGATTGTCTCTGGATTTCACGCAAATGTAATCCTCGACCGCTTGATTTCGGTGCGTTTTTCGGTTTGTGTTTCGTGACTTGAGTAAAAGGCAAAAGTTGATTCATCAGCCGCAGGATACGGGCAAACAAACAAACAAACGGAGCTTGAGTCTGTGTGTGTGCGTCAGCAGAAAATAAAATAAAATAGTGAAAATATAAAGCACAATACCAGTGCAGCGACACATCCTTGAAGCCTTCATACATATACAAATATATATACGTAAATACATAGTGAGAGCGAAACGAGCGCTCAGTCACGCAAAACGCCAGCGCACTTTGACCTCATTTTGGGCAACGTTTTACGCTCGAGTGTGTGACCCTGCCACGCCCCCTTTTGCGCCCACTGAATCCACCCGCCCACCTCTCCCTTCAATCGACATGTGTTTGCGCAAGTTCTCCTCTTTTGGCCATAATGATTTCAGCGCACAGGAAGCAAATTAAATCAATAAGTTGGCATATCATCGCTTAAACAGGATAAACTGCAGATTGCATTTTTAGTGCAATGCAACACTGGTTTTTTGTGCCATCCTATTGAAATCGATTTCGAGTGTTCGCTTCTATAGATTGCATGTAATTAAGCCATTTTTGGCCAGTTAATAAAATTGCATAAATGAAAGCGCATTTAATTTAATAAATGCGGATATTGAGAGTGCTAGAGAGCCGCAACAAATGTGAATTGATATGGAAATTTTAAGAATCGTTCTCGCTTTTGAATGAATTAACAAATATAAATTATAAATATTATAATGTATTTGTGTTTCGCCCATTACCAGGCTCGTTTTAGCTAATAAAAATAATAAACTTGTTTCCGGCAATGCATTTAAATAAATATTATTGTTAAATACGCGTATTAAACATGGCCAGTAATGGCAAAACAAATGCAAGTTAAATGTACATAAATGATGCCAATTAATTTACACCAATGCAATGAAAAGTTTTCCTTTTTTTGTGAATCAATAAATGAATTTAAAGCCTTTAATGTGAATGTCGCCGCAAGAAATTTACAATTATAAACAAATTGCATTGAAATGTGTAAAGTAAATACACAAGAATGTTTATAGCACATTCATAAAAATAAAACAAAAAGAAAAGTAAGAAAAAAGGAAATGTATAAGAAGTGTGCGTAAAAATACACCATTGCAAAATTGTTTTAGTGCAACAAAAATACCTGATTTTATCAGGCTAAACAAAGCAATCCTTTAAAAATTTAATCAATAAATTTGTGAACTCATGTAACTAATAAAAAGCAAGGAGAATTTATAAATAAATACAATACAGTTAAAATAACTCAACGAAATACATTTAAGGCCGCTCCGTTTTAAAGTTGGCCCGCAACAAGCGAAGAAGTTGGTCAATTAAAATGAACCATTTATGACATGCCGTTGGGGTAAGAATTAATTAATTGATATATGGAGTATATAGTTTATTATGTTGCACGAGACTCACTCAATTAAAATCACGTGCACGCAGCATTAAAAAGCAGTCGGTAATCAGGAGTTCACATAATTCTTTGGCGATGCAGTCGCTGCTCAAACTAAGAAACAAACAAGTTGATTGCCCCAGCCAGTGCAAGCAAATTAAATAAAAATTATTTATACAATGGCCAAATAACAGGCAATTATATTGCATATGAAGCTGGCCGAACGGAAGTTTCCTGACAAACCGACAGCCAAACAATCCCCAAAACTAAACTCAACGCACCCAGCCAGGCGTATAAATTTCATTTAGCATTCTAAGCCATGTTACTGGGCATTATGGGAATGTGAGTGTGTGACATAAACTATTGCTAAATGCAAACATTTCATTTAATGGCTCAATGTTGCGCTTCGTCGACGGACAACGGACGACAGGCATTAAATCATTTTTAAAGTGCTTGCAAATAATTTAATTTGTTAGTGCGAAAATGCTCGCACAAATCTTCTCTGTTTTGTCTTTGTATCTACAGTGGGGAAAATTCAATAAGTAGTTCCTAAGATTTAGATACATTTGAAATGTGTTAATAGGTGCTTGGTTCGATTCGAGCACATTAAGAAATGAATTTCAAGTAGGAAAAATAATTATGTTGTGGGCATCTGATCTAATCTGAGTTTGTCTCATTCAATCATTTTTGTGCCTTGGTTATTAAAATTAATTAAAATGTTTATTCTGCGAAATTGAAATTTGCATAAGTTAAGAAAAGTTGATTTATTTCCCTCTTGGATTAAATTGGTTAATTTATTCATTTATTAATTGAGAAAATTCAATTTTACACTTAACTCTTTAGTTGATTAAGTTGTCGTTGTATTTTTTTTTGTAATTGAATTTTCTTTGCTGATTTGCTTAAAGTACAAATTTGGAAAAAATGTTTTTTACAAAATTTAAAAATATCTAGATATATATTTTATCTAACCCATTTCCACTGTGAAGTTCAGTCAAATAAAGGCGTCTAGTGAAGTAGAACACAACGGCTAAATGCCTGCAGCATTCGCTTCGTTCCTCTTTCCTTTTCCACATCCTTTCTCGTGTCCTTTGTCTTGCCGGTTCCTTCCTTGGTCCTGAAAATATTCCGAGTCCTCCCACGCAGTTAGCAGCACTCATTCATGCATCCTGACTTCTATTGTAGAACACATATGTGCACATATAGCGTAGATATATATATACTTCACACTTGGCAAACGCGACCGTGACGCTAACAGCATCAAAGACTAAAACAACAATGACAAAGGCCATCCATTGTTGTTGTATTTGCCATTGTCGTCGTCACTTAATATACAAATTTCAGTAAATATTTTTCACACACACGCACACAGCTAAGGACTGAAAGACGCACAAGGAGTGCAATTTCCGCGAGCTGCATTCGCTCAGAACACGATTTCCCCTTCCTGCCCCAACCAATTTCCCATTTCCATTTTCTCTACCGAGTTCCTTGGGCAACAATTCGTTCAATTTCATGCAATCAAGTTATTTTAATTCATTACCCTTACGCGACCAACACTTGGGTGACATGCTCGCAACACCAACAAACACCCACTCACAGTCGTGAAGGAATATCCGAGCCGTAACCCCCTTAAAGCCCCCTGAGGCCCATCGATCCCCGGTATTGTCCCTGCAAGTGCATGTGCATTTTGCCTTGCGACACTTGACATTTACATATACAAACTTATGGACACTGAAAGAAACTAAAGTCTACATAATTTGTTATATCGATATACATTTCTCCTTTTTAATACCACACATTCAAGTGCAAGGCCACACTGGTCATTTTATTAAATAAATCCGTGACATTAAGTTGCAAGGTCACACTGATTTTTACTTCTTAAGATTTCTTATGACAAAAAATCTTTCATTGAAACCAGAAACATTTCAAAATATTCTACAAATAGGCACAACAATTTTCTAGAAAAACAGTAAACCAAGTAATTCTAAAATTTTAGTTTTATTCTTTTTTTAGTGCACTATCTGCATGTGTTTATATTGCACATACACACGTATAGTACATACTGAGGAATATAGAGCCTCACGCACGACTATCAAAATGTCAGACATCTGTCATTTAATTTAATTTGACTTCACTTTGCTTTCATTTGCCCTCCCACTTTTTTTCACCCAGCCTTGTGTGCTTTCTTTTCCCGCTGTCTCCTACTTTTTTTCCACTCTATAGCTGAATATATATAGTATGTAAAGATATATGGCTATATAGTGCGGGGGGCGTCGATGTTGAGCACAAAACGTGTAATTTAGCGGGAGGTGTTTGGAGAAGGTGTACGGAAAAGGGGAATTCCCCGAGGCTGCTGTTATTACTTAGTTTTGTTGTTATTCTCCTAGTTGTTATACTGGTTGTTTTTGTTGTTACTGTGCATCGTACGCGAGCTCAATTTAAATCGCTTTGCGTTTGCTGTGAAAACGGTAAAAAGCGTGGAGGAAATTGCAAAAGGGACTGGGAAAAGTGCGAAAAGTTTCGCGGAAAATGCATCGATCAATGAATACCCTTAATGGGGTTAGTAAAAAATAGCAAGTGTTTAAATAAATGGTTCAGTGGTGGCTGGATATGGTGAATGATTGAATTAAAAAAAACTCGCCTGCGAGTTTACTGATATCGGAGGTCTGATAAATGTGTAAAATTTTCAATAAAAAGGAAGATAAATTGGATCAACAGAGTTATATTAAATATAGCAGAAACATTTATAAAAAATACATTTATAGTAAAAAATAAATAACTTTTTGAAATTCATCCATTCCGTTCCAACCCACTTACTTGCCCCACATTTTCAGAGAGTATCTCTAAAGACAACTTGGCTTGATTTGCATAGGAAATTTTATTTCTTTGAGCTAAAACTAAACTAAACTATGTAAACGAACACATCATTTGCGTTGAGCTAAAACTAATTAAAGTGGTAACCCTGAGGGTAGTCAAAATATCCTTTTTCGCCTCAACCCCGTCTCTCCTGCTGTTTGGCAATAGCTTTCAGTTGTTTGTTCCGGTGCTTGAGTTTCTGCTGAAGTTGTCGTTTGAACTGCGTTTCCCTGCTCAGGATCTGCAGATCCTCGGGTGAGCAGGTGGCCAGGCGTTGCTTTTGCTCGGCTATCAGCTCCTTGGTCAACTGAATCTTGGTCTTGGACACCTGGATGTAGAGCATCTGGCGGCGCTGCAGCTCCTGGCGGTGCAAAAATAAAGCGTAGGCGACTGATGCTTCCATTCCGATGGCTTACTGGCGAATGAGTGCCAGGATTGAGTTTGGGTGGGTTTTTAAACGACCTCCTCCAGGATGACCAGGTCGTGTTTATCTGTTTTTTGCCTGTCCTGCGGGTTTTCTTTTTTTTCGCGGCCAATCCTTTGGGGTGCCGTTTTACCTGAGTGCCCTGGGTCTTAGGACTTAGGTCTCTAAACGCCTGGCCACACAGGTAACAGATGGTTTATCGGCGGTCCAAGTTTTCTTTCCTTCTCCTTCGTACCGGCCCATTAATGCACTTTAGGCCAAAATCCTTCGCATATGGCCGACAGGCAATGGTTTTCTTTGCCCCGTTTCCGTCGGCCAAGTTAGGTAAACTTTTGCGCTTGCCTGAAGCCATGAAAAAGAGCGAGGGATTTGCGGGGTGATGTGGCAGAGAGGCAAACATCCAACAAACTTCTTGGTCATGCAGCCAAAATCCAATGCAATTTTGGGCCATCCATCTAGAGAATGGTCCATCCACCCGTTCTCCGGACAACCCACTCAACGACAGGATGGCACGCACGTCCTGCACAGTCCGGCATATGCATCAATAATTTTTCCCAGCATGTGACTTCACTGCGGGAAAATTCTATTTAATATGATGAATGGCATTCGAAATTTATGATTTTAAATGAATAATTTTGGAAATCATACATTTAATTCACAAATGCATAAATGATACAAATGAGGTTTTACTTTCATGTTTCTTTAGGAATTTTAAGTTGGTTTAACATTAAAAACCAAATGGAAAGTATACATACAAAGCTAAGTTGTAAGAGACTTCAATAAATATTAAAATATAGTATAGTTAATTTTTAGTTGATGCAGATATACTCTCTTATATTTCGAAATTAATTTTGAAAATTAATGAAACACTTTCCAAAGTTTAAAATTTAAACATGTATGGAAAAAGTGTCAGATTAAGTTATTGAAATCTTAAAAATAAATGTAATACGATTTTTAAAGATCATTAAATACCTTTTTATGGTTTGCCAAATTTATTTCTTTGGTAAACAACATATAATAACAGTAAAAAAGATTTTTATTTGAAAGTTTAACTTAACTGTGCCAACGTATTTTGATATTTCCCATAAAAGCGTTTCCTTTTCTTACTTTCACACTTATTTTTCCGTGTTGACCCGGCCTAGGACCCGAACCCGTAACACGATCCCAGCCCAGACCCGTGTCTAATGCCACACCAACACTTTGAGGTTTATTAATTCGCATGAACTCCGACCGGCTGCACGACCCTGCGCTCATTTTTCATGCTGCCCGGGCAACGAAAGCCACAATTAAAAATTGCTTATGAACGGAAATGGCAGACAAAAAAGCCGAAGTGAAAAACTGCCCCTCGTAGAGAAGCTGGGCCAACTTTCAGTCGAAACCATAATCTGAGCCATGGAAAAGCTATCAAAGTTTTCCGGGGGGGGGTGTACGAAAAACTTAATTTCCTATTTCCTTTCCAGCTTCCGCTCACTTCCATATCTCTTTTGACTCCCACTCCCACATTTAGTGTAAACTGTGCGCATCATTATTTTGAAATTTTTGACACTTTTTTCGCTAGATGGTGCTAAGCTACTTGTAAATCAACCCAAGCTCATGCGTCTTCTTCTATCCAGTGTCTTTGATGTATATGTATGTGTGTGTGAGTGTGTGTGTCACATTTCCGGCGGAAGTGAAAGCAGAAAACTTGGTTCGTTTTCCTCTTCGCTAAATGGCATCAAGAAATGCAGCATCGTCGCCTCAGAGGAACAGAGACATTGACTGATGATGATGAGCACGATGATGTAAATGGGATTTTAGTGCCGCACATGACAATAGTAAACTTCTTCAGCAGCCGGAATCATAAGCTCTGATGTCTCTGTTCAGTATATCTGCTCTGGGCTCTTGTGACATGCAAGTAAATTGCCTTGGTAAATTTATTGTGCAATTACAAGGAAATCTAATGAAGAAAGCGTGGGATGGGGCCTTGAAAAAGTGCCGGTATAGAATGAAGTCACTCATTTTGGTCTACAAAAAGGGGATTTCGGCGTCTTGAAAGGATAAATATATGTAATAGTTTAATTTCAGCTAGTTATGTATAAAAAGAATTATTTTTATAAAGATTCTATATAAATTGGTGGATTAGAGCACATAAGTATTTTTACTCTGTGTCTTTAAAAATGGAATGGTATTTTCAATTATGGAAAATCAGAGGTTGCTAAAAATTTAACAAACTATTTATTTTATTATACTATATTTATATAACAATTTTAAAGCTTAAGCCATGAAATGTAGTTTCATGATCTATCTTGGAACATAACAGCTTAAATCGAGGAGGCAAATATTTTCATCGTTTAGTCTTAGTAAACCAACATCATTTCCATTCTGAATTAACCCATTATGTTCTACCTTTGTTACAGTTTGCAAGGAAAAGTAGGCCATTGCCTGTCCTTCGTCCTCGAAATGGCCTTGCCCTATGTCCTGGCACTGCTGCCCCTCCTTTGCTCCGCCTCTGCCCTCAGCCTGCCGAACATGACCGCAACGGACGCAGCGGTGGCCGGTGGTGGGATTTCGCCAATCCTGGTCGCCGGAAATCCCAGCAATCTAGGGAGTGGCAATTTAAGCCTGAGCGGTGGCGGCGGACTGGCCGGCAGCAATCCCGGCGGACAATCGGTACCGGATTCCGGAGGAGGTAGCGGCATTTCTGCGGGTGGTTCGCCAGCGGGTGGCATCGGCGGTGCCTCCGGCGGTGGCAGCAACAGCGGCCTCGGCGGCAGCGGCAACAACTCGGCCATGATTCAGGGCCAAAAGAACAATCAGTACGAGAAGTGTGCTGGTCCCGGGGATCCGGGTCCCTGCAAGCAGTACATCTACAAGTGGCGCTACGAGCCAACCACCAACGAGTGCACCAACTTCATTTGGGGCGGTTGTGAAGGAAATCCGCAGAACCGCTTTGGCACCGAGGCCGAGTGCCTCTTCCACTGCATTGGAGGACCACGTAAGCATTAATCAAGTTCAAGTAAGGGTTTTTTATTAGGATCTCAAAAATACAGGGAAACAAGTTTTTAATTTGACCAGAAATAGTATGATAACTGATGGTATATTACCATTTATCTTACAACTATGATCCCATATAAGCCAGGATGAACATTATATCATTATAATGTGTGATCTAAAAAGCGAAATTACAATGGTTTAAGGATTTATATACATAAAGGCCCATTTTCTGTAGCTAGAAAAAGTGGATGAAGCAATTTGTAATTGTGCTACAACCAGATCATACATAAATGTCTTAAACGTTTCAATCTAAACGAAGTTTGATTATACATAAATTGTCTTCCTAAGTTTATAACCAGATAGGGCTTGAAGCTTACGACTATTTAAAATGTTAAGAACACTGTGATACATATAGTCCGAAAAATAGTGATAAGATAGTAGGAATCAATACTAAATCGATTAGGCAATCCCTTAGCTATTAACTAGTTACGTTCCCTCGATTAGTTTTACCACCTCGGGCGACCCAATGATAATCCCAATTGACGACCCATCTCTTGCAGACACGCTGCCACCGTTCCTGCAGTCCACCACCCGTGAGCCGAGCACCACCGAGAGCTCCATGCTCCTCGGTTTGCCGTACACCCAGAGTCCGGCCCAATCGCCGGACGGAATGGGCGGGGCAGAGGGCGGGGACGGAACCACACCCGTGCCCATCGAACAGCGCGGTCCCGAGCTGACTTTCGCGGAGACGGGCCAAGGCAAAACTTTCATTTTCGCCAAGAACAACACGTTCATCCAAATGGACGGCGACATCATACAGACATTTCAATTAAGGTGAGTGGGAGTGGGACTGGGAGTACGGGTGCTGAGGGTCCACTGACCACCTGGCAGGTGGCAGGTCCTCGGGTCCTTTGCATGCCACTTCAACTCGCCGCGCTGCAACGGTCGCGTCATTTAGCGGATTGTTGGCCTTTTGGCTCAAAAGTGCTTGATTCGCTTAACCCTTAACGGCAAGGGAACCATTTTGTGAAAATGTTCAAATATATTAATTAACATCATTGTCAGAGAAGTATTTATGTGCTTTACGAAAGTTAAGATAGATTTTTAAAGACTTCTATAAATATATATATTTTTTCAGTACTAACTTTTTAAGAATCGTTTAATTTAAGAAACATTCTACAATATTTTTCATAGCATACAAATACCATGCTAACTACGTACAAACAGTATTTTGTTATTCACCAAAAAATGTACTTCTCCTGAAATCAAAAAAACTTTTACAGAAACACAGATAACTGCAATGCTACTTCAAAAAATTAACTTTACAATTTATTGATTTTAGTGGGACTAGTTCATAAAATGTTTTCCATGTACCTCGATTGCGTGACCCTTAATACCTTCAAAAACCACACATTACAAAGCCTGTAGTGAATTTGTGCAATAGAAAACAATTAAATCTGACATTTGAGTGAGCGGGGGAATACAAGCAAAAAATCCATCTGACAACCAATGCTATTAGGTCTAAAAAATGTTCAAGCCTTCTATAAAATACCACGATACCTATGGGGTTAACAGCGAAAGCTGTCCACTCAGCAATTAGCCAAACTGACGTTGCCTTTACAGTTTGAAAATTGATTTTCTCTCAACAATTTTCTTGGGGGACTGCAATCTTATCGGTAGCTTACACAAAACAATCAAAAGGAAAGCAGGGAAGGCAGAAACAAAAAACGACTCGAAAACCAGGTCAAAAGTTAATTTTCTGCTCAATTGCCGAAACCTTTCTGTCCATGCTGTGACATCTAAATGGCTTAAAACGACTTCTGGCCAAGATTTTTGGCTTGTTAAATTTAAAATTCAATTTGGTTGGAAACATTTGGAATTTGCATATTAAATTAAGATAAAAAATATTATATAAATGCCAAGTACGAGAGCTGGTGCACATGTTGGACAAACATGTAGACAGTGAGGCAAATAAAATTAAACATAACTTTACCAAATAGAACTTCTACTTGCTA